CTATTTGTTTCTTCATTATTATATTTATAAGAGTATAAACCCTATTATATAAAGGCTAATGAGTGGTAGGGGTTAAAAGGAATAAATATCCATTAAGTGGGAGGTTATAAGGATTGATTACTTACTAATAGAAAGGTTATAAATTAAGCCATTATAACCATTCTAATTGCATGAGAAAGTGGTATGTTAATCACCCCTAAATAAAAGTTAATCATCATTAGATACATAGAAAAGTGGAGGAGTTACTCACCATTATGTTAAGCATATAATGCATGAGTAAGTGGGCAAGTGAAAGGTGAGGAAGGTGAACATTCACAATGAATTGATTCAAAACATTGTTAGGAAAAACCCAATGGAAAAAAAATTGTGATAAAGGAAAAAAAAAATACAATGCATATAATGTTCCATTTCAATTCAATAAATATTCATAATTAGATGATTTATGCCAATCTTGTGTCTTACCAATTCAAAAGTTCTAGTAGCCAACGATTTTGTGAACAAAATATGTTGGCTTCTCATATAAATAAATTTAATAGGCACTATTTCACTTATTTATAAAAGTCAATATGTAAAGAATAATTTTAATGAGATATGCATTAGTTCCATCTCACTTAATATAACCATCCATTACTTATGTAATGCTTTCACCATTATATCTTACATGGTATAACTACATTCTTATTGCACATATTAAATCTATTTCACAAACATTCTCAAAAAGTAGATATATTTCTAAATTGTTTGTAGATATAACCACTATAGCAATACCATGTATATGTATAGATACTATATTTGTAATCATATTTTATGTAGATATAATAAGTATTATAATTCACATATCCAATTGGCTTGGATTTTGAGTGCTTGAATATAACAATCACGTAACATTTGTCCCTTAAAAGGTTAAAAAAAAAAAAACAATGTAATTTCACTATAGTGACTTAAAGTCAAAGCATAATAAAATCTTGCCAATGAATTTTTAGAAAATGATATATCATGGCATATATATTCTCAACAAGATATATTCATGCATTAGTTGCAATCAAATATTGTAGTTACATCAGAACCGAAAATATCTTTGAAGGATGAAAAATATCATTATGTATAATTGGTGATATAACATTATGTCAAGAATTTATCTATATATACATATATCAAGGGATTGAATCCATTAGTGAGTTAAAAGTTTGAGCTTTATCAATGTTAAAGCACTCCAAATCTTTTCCTCATAGTTTAATTGATAATAAAAATCAAACTTGATAAGTACTCAATCAATAAGTCAAGTCATAATTTTATTATTTTAAAGTTTTTCATCTCAGAGTCACTCTTTAAACCATGCTATTACGTTATCCAAACTCAAGAGGAGTTTTAATGATACTTAAATCATTGACATTCTACAAAAATAGCAAATTTCATTTTTAATCTCTTAGTAAAAACCAATGAAGTAATGTGGCATTTTTCAAATCCTTCTTTTAGAAGGTATTCACTTGTATAATTAAACCTATTTATTCTTTTATATTAATCAACACGAAAATATCACTCTTAGTTTTGAGCTATATATACTTTAACCATTTGAAGCTTCATCTTATGTTTCAGGTATAAGTTTTAAGCATTACAAACTCCATGCATATTAAGCTACAAATTTTACATGTTCTATAAGGACTTTCATATAAATATAATTATCATATATTCAAATTATACAACATTCATAAAATGCAATCGAAGTCCTTTAAAGACTTGCAAATAATAATAATAATCATAATAAATCTATGAAAAGAGAATATGTCTTCAGAACCAATTTCAAGTTTGGCAAAAATTTTAATGCTATAAGTTTTCATTCCTATTTGTTATATGTTCTCACAAATATCACTTGTAGCAAGTTTAGACTATCAATCTAAGAAATTAATTTTATTCTCGTGATTTTAATTTAATTTGGATAATCTCTTTTTATGTTAGCCAATTATTTTTTATCAACAATTTTCAACGAATTTTGATCCAAAATTCTCCTTTTCATTAATATATCATTTATTATTGCATATACAAAAATTTCATATCAATAACAATTTCATTTCAGTTCCGTCTTTTTTTAAAGAACTATAATTTGTAGAGATCTCATAATTGTTTTTAGATACCTAAACCTCATCTTGGGTATTTCCTCAAGACCTTTGTAAGAGTTCTCTGATTTTAGTAGCAATAACTTTTTGTTTTTGCTTTCTCTTCATTTTTAAATTTTTATCATTAGAACCATTTGTTATAACATGCTTTTGGTGTGTACATAATATACTCATTTGCTATTATTTTAGCAACTTTTGTAATAAAAATAGTAATACAAATAGGAGTACTTAAAACTTAGATATGTGATTTTCTTATTGTCATTTTCATTAGTCGATGCATCTAGCAATTGATGGCACACAACTTCAAAATTTTGATTCATATTAATTTATTCGAGGATCTTAAATAATGCATCTCAAGTTATCTCCTATCTCTCCAATATTTATTCTTCTCCCCTTCATGTTAGGAACATGATTTGTTTGAATGTATAACCAACAAATTCCATTATAAAAAGATGCATTTTGTATATGTATGATAAGAGTATATGTATACCACATTTTGTTTATTATAGAGACACTATTATACCTTTATTGTATATTAATACTACTTTAAACAATTCAACTTTTCAGCCTTGGTTTCATTAGTAATCATAAGGATGCCTTTTTTAAAACTATTTTTCCATTAATATGTAATTGGTAAAACATTAACTGCTTTAGTTACATGTGCCATCAACCTTGGACAATTTTATATTTTGACCCTTTAATATATAATCCTTACATTGGAAGGCATTATATGATTTTTTTTTTTTTTATGAATCTCAAGATTTGAAATATAAATTCCTCATATGAAAAATGATTTTATAAAATTTATATTTGTTCATAGATGCATTCTTGCATCTCATCTTCTTATTAGAAATGAATTTTAATTGAAGAAATTTAATTTAAAAGAATTCTTCTTTTAATTCACAACTCTCACATTGGGATGTATGTTTGATTTCTCAAATGTTTCATACTTTCTCCAATATTCTCAAAATGGATATAAGACATTCAAGTTTAGAATAAAATTATGTATCACAATTATTATAAATGTATATCCATATTATTTTTCACAAAATTTGTTTTTGCAATTTTTCTTTCTCATTGAGTAAAGCTTGTAACAAATCAAGCGAATGGTTGGAGATTCGTAATAAACACATGAATTACTTGGATATACTAAAATATGTGACAAATGCTTATTCATATCATATCTATAATAAGAACTCTCAAATTTCTTGTCAACCTATTTTACAAGTCTTTTCCTTTTCACAACCATAGTCATAGTAGAAATAACATACAATATGATGTCACATTCTCTTTAGGGAATGGAATCAAACCAATGGTTGTGATTGATATTTTTTTTATTAAAAATTCAAACTTTTGTCAACAACAAGAAAACATATATTTACTTTGAACATATATCTTAAAATTACTCTCTCAAGTTATACATTTAGAGCATATTTTAGGTATGAAAAAAAGAATATATCTTTTCTAATATGTCTTCATCAATAGTTTTTCTTTTGCATGAAATAATTTAAAATATTTGTCAATTTATACTCAAGTAATAAATGGATTCATTCATAGTTAGCTGTTGGAAGAATTACAATTTTCTTTTGATGATCATCTTTCTTCTAAACAATTCTATGATTCCAATAAATCATTCATCATCAAATATTAATCTTTTATTCGTTTTTAGACTTCATAATAAAAACATATCATTTCATCGCAATCCTTCAAAGACATTCTTTTTTTCCTCTTCAAGAATATTTTTTTCTTTTAAGTGATGAGTTATTTCTTTCCACAATTAAACCTTCAAGGTTCATTGTAGGTAAATAAATTTTCATATTAAGAGTTCATGACTAATAGTTGGGCCCAATTTACTAAGGGCAATGGATTCAAATCCTTTGTAAAATAGAATATAAACAAAAGAATTGTTATAATAGCATAAAATAATCAAATTAAAAATAAGAAATTAAAAGACAATTTTCTCAAAATCTTATCTCAAAACTTTATCTCAACTTATATCTTTATTTCAATTGGTTTATCACCTTGAATAGGATTCAAATAGAGTAATTCACATAAAGATAATTCGTATTGATAACATGTTATAAAATAAAGAAAGAAACAATTAAAAGAAAAAAAAATAAAAAGACAAATAAAGTAATGCAAAAATATATTATATTTCTATTTCTATTCCTTTCTTCAATATTACATTTATAAGAGCACACTAGATATAGGGACTAATGAGTGGTAAAGGTTATAAAGAATAAACATCTACTAAATAGGAGGTTAGTGTTGAGAAACATTTTATATGCTTTAATCTATTATATTAGCCTTCATTTTATTACTATTTGTAAGAATAATATATGATTTTCAATAGATTTACATAGTTTTCATTTTTTCTGTAGAAAAGGACTTGATTGCATATGATTGCATAACAATATGAGTTTTTGGGACTAGTTGAATATTTTTGGAAAGTTAAGGGACTGAATTGTGAGAAAAAAGGTTCCTTTTTGGGACCTAAAGGATTGGCTCTTAAGTTATGGGAACAAAGTTTTCATTATATAAAATCTGGAGGACTAAATCTGGTATT